ATTTAAAATGGTACTGCGTTTAATCCAATTGAAATATTTTTAATTTATAATATTATTTTTTTCTTCGTTTTTTTTTCTTTTTTTTTTTTAAACGTCAAGCTGATTTTAATATTTATTTATTATCCTTACTTATATTTTATTTAGAATAAAATGATCGACTGTAGTTGAAAAAGAAAAAGAACTTCGAATCTTGTTGTACATCGTTTATGTTCTTGAATTGGTCGAATCTGATTTTATCATCCCCAATTTTATCCACCCACGCATTCTCATCGCACCCTTATCGTACCCTTCATCCCCTATTTCCCTCTCTCTCTCTCTCTCTCTCTTCGATTTAATTTCTCGTAGAATCTTTAATTATCAGAATTTTTTTTCGATATCATCTAACACATCGAAATCGTAAGTATTACTGATGAGATACAAACACACATAGGTATACGCGCGCGTACACAAACACTTACCCATATAAAATTGTATCGGCACTTTGAATATCGAGTAAATTAGGTATTAGGAAGTTGGTAACGTAGGTGCGTCCTTTAATCCGACGCACACATTGACAATGGTAAAGCTAATTGCACAAGGGTGAAGAGGTGAATAAGGGATTGGAGATGGGCACAGGGGGTTGAGAGAAAGAGGGTTTGCAACCGGTTCGGTTGAGTTCTAATGAAGCTTTAAAAGGATTATACACCACGATTGCGTTTCGTGTCAACGACAGTGCGGATTTACATTTACCCTCTACTATTACTACTACTAGTATTACTACTACTATTACTACTACTACTACTACTACTACTACTATTACTATTATTACTACAACTATTACTGTTACTATGCGTGTAAATCGTAGGAAACTATTTGTAGCGTTCCCTCAATTAGCGAGGATTTACGTGTTAGAAAATAGATACCCCACCACCCCTCTCTGTATCACCAACTGTCTAATCATCATCTTCCTCACCCCGCGCTCACTTATCCTCCCATCCTACTCCCTCTTTATCCTTTTCTTCCCTTTCTCGGAAAAAGAACACTCGACTCTAACTTTCGATACTGCCACCATTACCAGTCCTTCTCAACGGAATTAATGAGAACGTTAACGAGAATCGACAGAATCGAACGGTATATATATATATATATATCATCCCCCCGCCATTGTCTTCTCATTAATTTTCTCTTTAACGATTATTTTGCAATTGTCTGCGTCTACGTTTTATCAACACTTCGTTAGTAGATTTCGACGTTTTTAACTCCCCGAATCTCTCTCTTTTTTTTATTTTTTTTTATTTTATTTTATTTTATTTTTACTTTTTTTTCAACGTTCCAACGTTAGATCGGCCACACGATTTTGTTGTTCCTTTTTTTTTTATTTTTTTTTCGTTAATTTATTTTTGTTTATTTTCCTTTCGCGTCTGTCTTTGTTTGCTCGTTCATTTTATTGTTGTTGTTGTTGTTGTTGTTGTTATTGGGTTTTCTTTTTTTTTTTTTTTCTTTTTTTTTTTTTATATTCAAATGATGAAACTAAAAAGACTAAGAATCTCTTTAGAAACAATTTTTTTTTTTTTTATCCCGACCATCGCAGTACTTCTATAAAATTAACCAAATTGATTGACACGCTCGTTTAAGTAGTTCAAAAATTTTTTGTTTTTAAAATTTTTGTTTTATTTCTTTTACTTTTTTATTTCATGAGCGCAAAATTTTTTTTACAATCCCGTGTCGACAGTATTATTTTCGAGTTTATATATAGGATGATGGTCCAATGATTCTTTTCTTTTTTGTCTTTTTTATTTATTTATTTATTTTTTTTTCTATAGTTTTTATTTTTTTTATTTTCTCATTGTAAAACTATTGAGTCTAATTGCGAGTCGAAAAATCAATTGTTCGATATTTTAATTGCAACAGCTTAGGGACTTTTATTCGGATCGATCGATCGATCGATCGATCGATCGATTTGATATGAAAAGCGAGAATATCTAATAGCTGATCGATTGATAAATATATACAAAAACGACGAGATTTTATTAACGACAAACGTACCCCTACACACACACACATACACGCACGCACGCACACACGCACACACGCACACACACACACACAATCACATTTAAAATTCTTCCATCAAATGATCGGTGAATTTGATTTTGCTACGCGTTTTGCAATTACATTTTATTTATACTCCGATTACTTATTAACATTGATTATTATCGATAACATGATAAATGTGATAAGAAATTATGTTCTATGGTATCGTTTGATAAACCTATTCATTGCCTTTCTATTTATCTGTGTATCTCTCTCTCTCTCTCTCTCTCTCTCTATCTCTCTCTCTCTATCTCTCATTTTCATTTTCGATATTAGTTCGAAATTTCGGGATTTATTCGAGATTCGTTGTTACACAATAGGTGTAGCTATGATTGGTGTCGATAGTTTCCTTCCTTCCTTTTTTTTCCTTTACTTTCTTTTTCTTTTTTCTTTTTTTTTCCTCTTCATTCATTCATTTTCCTCTCCATAGGCAAAAGGTAATTTTGATTTTGGACGATAACTTTTTTACGATTGTATAGAACTCGTTCAATTGACTTTTTTCTGTCTTTCTCTCTCTCTCTCTCTCTCTCTCTCTCTTACACACACACACACACACACACACACACACATTTTTCTATTGAATCATTGTTGTTTGAATTAGAACGAAACTGTGAATGATGACATCGAGAAAGAGTAAGGGAAATTTTTTCTTTTTTTCTTTTTTTTTTTTTTCTATTATTATTATTTTTTTTTTCTTTTTTACGCCAAATCTCCTTTCCTGATGACAGTAATAACGATATTATCGAGATATTAAATAGATCAGTTAGAACTTTAATTTATTTATATCCATAATCTATAAAGAATTAATTTTTTCTCTTTTTTCTTTCTTTTTTATTTTTTTTATTTTTTAATTTTACTTTTTTTTCTATTACATATATATGTATATATATATTTTTTTTATTTTTTTTTTTTTTTTTGGAATATCTTTCCCCGCGGCGAATCAAAATGTATTTTTCATTAAAAGGAGGAAAAGAATAATGAGAATTAAATATAAATGAATTAGATTGTATTCTCTCTGTCTCTTTCTTTCTTTTTTTTTTTTTTTTTTTTTTTTTTTTTTTTTTTTTTTTTTTTTTTTTTCGTATTCTTGCACGAAATAATACAGGTCATATACGACCTGTGTGTACGTGCAAATAGAATAGATCTATGTGAATCTGTTATTATAAAAATAGTTTGAGTCAAATATTTGTCGTTTTGAGATAATACATTTTTTTTTTTTTTTTTTTTTTTTTTTTTTTTTTTTTTTTTTTTTTTTTTGAATAAAAGAGAGAGAACGAGAGAGAGGGAGAGATATATGAGAATGTAAAACAAGAAAAGTGATAAATTATATTTTTGTCCGATTTTTCACGTAGACTAATTTAGTTTCATGTGGTTATTGGCATTTATTATATATATTATATACTATATACACTATACATACATATATATATATATATATATATATATATATATATACTTCATAATGGTTATATGTGTCTAATATATATATAGACATGATGATAGGTTGAAATTCGTTCATCGAGCCGATTAAAAAATTTTACGCCTACTCGAGAGGACACGACACGTCCACTTGTTTTTGTCACAAAATCTATTTATAATCACGTTTTTGGCAACTACACTAGAAATTCGTACGTCTCTGTCTCTGTCTACATATGCGTGTGCGTGTGCGTGTGCGTGTGCGTATATGTGTGACACACAGAGTGAGAGAGAGAGAGAGAGAGAGAGGGAGAGAGAGGTGGTGACGAAAAATTTAATAGCTTTTGACTATCTTTCCGACGTCTCCCTTTTATAATATATCTATAATATATTTCAAATGAAAATAAATCAAAGGGGAAGTGCTTTTCGATTAATCGACTCTTCTGAATGAAATTTATCAGTCGAATAGTTACGATATCATCATTTTCAAAATTCTTATCGAAGTTAATTAAACGAAGTAATATGTTATTAACGAGTACCTTCGGGAATGATATATTAAATAAAAATTTTACGTATCACGATGTGATAAACAGTGTAATATTAGTGTTATAATATTTTTCTGAATCGTAAATTTGAAAAAAAAAAAAAGAAAAAAGGAAAAGAAGAAAATTATTTTTATTTCCATTTTTCAATTTTTTTTTTATTTTTTTTTTTTTTTTTAATTTTTCTACAATTATCACGATCCATCTGTGCTACGATATAATTAATGCGAAAGAAATCATATGTATATATATATATATAGATTTTTTTATTGTTAGATATTATATATTTTTATATAATATGAATAATATATAATAATAATAATAATAATAATAATAATAATAATAATAATAATAATAATAATAATAATTTATAAAAATGTATATATATGTATATATGTTAATAGTCATATAATTTTTGATGCAAATTATTTATTATTTAATATTTGATTAGATTACAATACTTAATTGAAAATGATTTTTATTTAATTATAATATATTACATTTTTATATAATAATTATTTATATACATATATATATATATATATTTATCGTTTAATATAAACTTTATGATTAAATAGAATTTGTATTAATTAAAAATTTTCATTAAGTACGATTCAGACTTGCTTATTATAAATTCGTTCGTTCGATTTATATATTAATATACATACGTTATGTATTATCTTTGAACGATCAACAATCACAAAGGTTAGCCTTGAAATCATAATATTTATCCAAGGACATTGGATACAAAGACGCGTTGTCATTTCTAAAGGATATAAACACAATGTAACAAGATCAGAATAGTCAGGTAGTTAGTTTAATTTCGTATTTCAATGATAACAGACGTACGAGAAATTATATATCGCGTACATACATATTTTAATTCTAATATATTAACTTTTCGTATTAAATATTATTATTATTATTATTATTAATTATTATTAGAATAATCGTTAACGCAAATACGTATTATATGTGAATTTTATATTAATCAAACAAATCTCCTAATCGTTTTATTCTCATCTTTTGTCAATTAAATATCATCGACTTAATTAATTTTTATTAACTGTACGTCCTGACTTTTAAAAGAAATAAATTAATCTCGAAATTGGTGCATATAATAACGATTGAGGGTAAAGGAAAGAGAGTGGAAAAGATAATAAAAAGAAAATAAATAAATAAATAAATAAATAAAAGCGTGGGATAAAAAAGGTTTGAAAGTTTGAAAATAATTATTCGACATGTATACGAACTTTCATCAAAAATGGAACGCGATGAGGATCCCACGTCGATTGGAGTCACCAAAAATGGTGAGAATTGAAACAAAATATTCTAAATTCGTTTCTAAAAAAAAAAGAAAAAAAATCTCACGATACATACATACATACATACATACATACATATATATATATATATATATATATATATATATCAATTTTGTTAATCATTAAATATATGTATATATACATTCATTTAATATTAAATTGTTATAGATAAAATTGAAAAAAGAAGAAAAAATTTGTATATATGTATGAACATATATGTATAATTGTTGTATCATTGAAATATATAAAAGATAAATAATATATATAAAAAGTTAATATAAATAAATGATTTAGGCAAAGATCGTAAAAGAAAAGTCACCATCGCCGGAACGAACGGAAACATCGTCAATGATTTATCTGTTGATGAAATCATCGATGAACAAACAAAAGATACAAAAGGAGGAATCACGTCGGGGTCATTATAAAATATTTGGTGATCTTTCAAAATTATCATGCATTAAACGAACTGATTCTAATGATTATAAAACGAAAGTTAAGCAGGAGGATACGTTCGAGATTTACGACGATAAAATAAAGTCGAATAATATCGATATTGATACGTTCACTGATTCGAAAAATAATGTGTTATTGTCCAAAGAGAATGTTGATTGTTTTATTAAGAAGGAGATCAAAGTTGAGAATGATTTATACGAGGATGTTTCCGTTAATGACAATACTTCGATCGATGACCCTTGTCGATTAATCCAAACGAATAACGATCAAAAATGTTCGTCTATGTTATATTCATCGGTTGATGATTCCAATGATGATGATGATGATGATAATGATGATGATGATGATGATGATGATGTTTTTACTAAAAAGAAATCAGAATCGATGATTGATCCTCGTCGATCAATACAAAAGAATAATCGAAAACGTTCGTATGTTTCGTCTTCGTTGTCTGAGTCTCCTATCGAAAAAAAATGGCGACCAAATTCAAAGAAAGATATCAAATCAAAAATAAAGTCATCTACACCGAAGAGGATCATACAATCTTCTATGTCGGACATGAATGAGCTCATGCGAATTACTAAAGCTTTTCAAAATCGAAGGGAGAAACGTGTACCTGTCATTTATGATAGGGCTAGACCAGGTCTTCGTATACATATTATTTTTTCTTCTTTTTCTTTTTTTTTTTCTTTTTTTTTTTTCTCTCTTTCTTTCCTTTTCTTTCCTTTTTTTCCCTGTTGTTCTCGTTCTTCACTTTATTTCATAGAACAGATGGAGAATAATTTGTGTATTGTAGTTATTTGTTTATTTATTTCTATTGGAAAAAGTTGAATTATTTTTTACTTTTTGTCTATTTATTTATTTATTTATTTATTATTATTATTATTTTTTTTTTTCGTAAAACTTGCAAATAGATATCATCAAAATTCGGTTTTCTATATACGTGTAATATATTTAGAATTTTGAAAAAAGAAAAATATACATTTATACGACTCATTCACATGTGTATCTAAGAACGACAAAATATACACACGCACGCGTATATATAAAATGTCTACAGATAAGTGTGTGTATTTGTGTGTTTTATATATATATATATATATATATATATATATATATATACACAAAAATATATATATATATATATCACACGTTTAATACAAATCAAAGTGTATCAAAATTCGTTGTACATACTTATTTATTTTCGTTAGAGATATATCATCGATTTAGAAAAAAGTACACGCACTTACACACACACACACACACACACACACATACAGATACACCTTCCTCTCATTCATTTTCAAAGCTATTTTATCGCGTACGAACATGATACATCCGATAAAATAGAACGAACTATAACAGGATTAGTTATTTCTCTCTCTCTCTCTCTCTCTCTCTCACACTCTATCTCACTCTATCTATCTATTTCTCTCTTTCTTTTTTTTGTTTCTTTTTTCTTTTTCTTTTTTTTTTTTTCCTAATAACGTTTTAACGACGTCACGTTGCATCGGCGTCGCGTTTACACGCGAACATCTTATTCGGGTTGAAAAGTCATGCAATTTGCTGCGGCGTTATGCATAAGAGCGACGTATGAGGGTTTGTGGAGACGCTAAAGAGGGATGTAAGAGAGTAAAGAGAGAGAGAGAGCGAGAGAGAGAGAGAAATATATATATACATATTTATATATACACATACTAGCCAGTAGCAGCATATTCTTTGTCCTAGAAAGAGTGCAACGTACTCAAAACGTTCATTGTAACAAACGTTTGCATTTCTCCGGTTAATTTCAGCGGCAGGGTAAACAACGGTTAAACACGGTATTACGGATCTTTGTTACTAGTCTCTCTCTCTCTCTCTCTCTCTCTCTCTCTCTCTCTCTCTCTCTCTCTCTCTCTCTCTCTCTTGCGCACAATAGATATCTCCTTAGAAAATGCAAACTACGATAAACGGGTACACGTTTTTTAAAAAGCGAACTTCATTCAAGATTAGATACTCGGCTGGTCTGTTGCTGGTATGCTGATGCATCCTTGTTACATTCAACACATACAGAGAGACAGAGACAAAGACAGAGAGAGGGAGAGGGAGAGGGAGAGGGAGAGAAATTATCGATACACTGTATTACATACCTTTCTCTATATCTATACAGGCTAAACGAAAAGTTTCTACTATTCTGATTTCTTTCTTTCTTTTTTTTTTTTTTTTTTTTTTTTTTTACAATCAATTGCTCTTCTTCATTTTTGTTCGTTTTATATTTTTTTTTGTGAGAGAATTTTTTTCTTTTTTTCTTTTTTTTTTTTTTTTAGATTTCTTTTTAAGTTTGCGGTTTATATCAGACCTTAGTGATTTTTTTTTTGTTTTTTGTTTTTTTTTTTGTTTTTTCAAAGCTTGACTTCGTTGACGATTTGAAAATTTGCATAATGAGACAGTAAATGTTAATAAACGGTCGGTGATAAATTGATCGGTAAAAAAAAAAAAGAAAAAGAAAAACAAATAAGATTTCGAAGACACGTAATTAATTTTTAATATCGTCTAAGATCTTTTGGTTACTCCTTTCTTTTTTATTTTTTTTTTTTTTTTTTTTTGTTCTTTTTTGTTTTTGTTTTTTGTACCGATCATTTATCTAGCACGTATATGTGAAATATATTTATACGTTTGTGTAACTTCTTTGTGTACACTCGTAGATTTCCGTAAATATGTATCTTTCTCTTTACGTGTGCGTACGTACGTGTGTATGTGTGTATGCGTGTGTTTGTATATATATATATATTTTATACACAAGTTTTTAGGTAAATTTCAACCGAGAACAATCGTCGCAATTTGTTCTCTTATATACATACATACATACATACATACATACATACATACATACATACATACATACATACATACATACACACATACAAATAGAACAAATATTTATCTGAAGATTATTAACACGCGTTTTTGTTTATTTTACACGAGTGTTTCATAGGTAAATTTCACGTAAGGATAATTCCATCTCACGTACGTTGTTCTATTTTCTTTTCCTTTTTCCTTTTTTTTTTTTCTTTTTTTTTTTCTACATACATGCCATATATCATACTTCAGATAACAAAATATTTATTTAAAAGACTATTTATAATCTATTTATCGTTTATCCGTTCTAAATCATTTGCGGTATATGATTCACACGTATTATTTAATTAATATTTATCTATGATATACCAGTTACTCGTATTAATCATATTAAATATTTGTTTATTCGTGACGATGAATAATTATTATTAATTAATTATTTCGTTTAAGTATTGATTAAAATTATACGAAAAAATTATTCAAAATTGTTCGTGCGATACGAACTACGTATTTATTGTTAATCGATCGATATACATATATATATATGCATATATATTTTTTTTTTTTATAGTTGTTCGTTCCTGTATTTCGTTTTTGAACGAGAGAAAGAATAAAAAAAAAAAAAAAAGAGAGAAAAAAAAGAAAAAAAAAGGGAAACAGGAAAAAAGAATAAATAAAAATAAATAAAAAAAAGAAAGAAAAAAGAGAGCTAGGAAAGAGAATTGCAATGGAGGAAGTACTTTTTTTAATGATTTTTAATTTGTAACTTTTTTTTTCTCTTTTGTACTTTATCATAGATGTACCCTTTCCACCGTCGCACAAGCTGACAGTGGCTGAGGTCTTCGATTCGGGAACGGATCGGCCGAGACCGGAAGTTCTTAAGCAACACTTCACTCTCGAAGGTAGAATCGACGAAGCTGCGGCCCTTCGTATAGTCAATGATGGTGCCGCCATTTTACGCTCGGAAAAGACAATGATCGATATCGAAGCACCTGTAACCGGTAAGTTTAAATTATTTACATTTCAAAATATATATATATATATATATATATGTCTTTAAATTAAGTTTCTTTTATAATATATAACGAAAAATGTTTAATCTTTTTATCTTTATCGCATTGTCGATCAATCACGAGTAAATGTATATATATATATATATATATGTATGCTTGTACTTGCGTTTTTATATATATATATGCATACAGTACATGCAACTTACGTTCGTTTTTAAAATGTTAATAAAATTTTGTTAAATCATTATTTACGATATTGTTTATCGTAAATTATTATTCTTCTTTCTTTTTTTGTTTTTTTTTTTTCCTTTTACAATATTATATTTGCTCAGTCTTTTTGAATAAATTAAATAAATCATCCGGGTATTTATAATAAATTATGAAATATTTATGATATGACTTAATGAATTATATCGGTCGTAATATTTATATACTCCGACATTTAACGAAAAATTTAATAAAAAAAATCAAAAATGTTTATATAACTTCTTTTTTTATTTTTTTTTTATTTTTTTCTTTTTCCTATCAGTATTATTCTTTTTCTTTTTTTTTATCAATTAATTGTAAGAGGTTTCTTCCTTTTTCTCTTTTCTCTTCTTTTCTTTTCTTTTTTTTTTTCTTTCTTTTTATAATTTTTAATATCTCAACGTGGATTTTTGAGAATTTAATTATTAATAGTTTATAGAGGACGTGAAACGGTTTATTAATTTTTGCGTTGAAAGCAAAACCGATCAACAATGGATCGGTATGGATTAAGAATCGAACATGTGTTAAGTTTACATAACTCGATTTATATGATGATGTAAGTGAGTGAGCGAGCGAGCGAGCGAGTCCATCTATCACAAGTGTAACCGGATCTGGTCCAGATTTTCAGCCTCATTTCAGTCACGCTCGTGATGATCCATATATGAATGAATTTATATCACGGATGTTAACAATATGCAGTAATCGTGCTATTTTTTATTTTTTATTTTTTATATAGAATATATTATATATATATATATATATATATATATATATATATATATATGAATTCGTTTTATTAGATGTTAGTTATACATCAGTTTAATTACGTGATCGATATTAGAAGCGAACAAGTTGGGAAATTTATAATTAGCCTTTTTTGTTTTGCTTTGCAATTATGAAGGAAAGAGAAAGAGAGGGGAGGAGAAATAGAGAGAAAAAGAGGGAGAGAGAGAGAGAGAGAGAGAGAGAGAGAGAGAGAGAGAGAGTATATACGAAAGAACGTATGTTTTCTGTGTAAATTTATTAATTAGTTATTTATATGAATATTAAAAGAGTAATGAAAAATATAATATATATTAAAATTCTAATTACTTTTCTTAATTTGTTCTCGGTCTGTTCTGATTTTTTCTTTTTTCTTTTTTTTAATTCTCGTTTCTTCCTCTCTCTCTCTCTCTCTCTCTCTCTCTCTCTGCCTCTCTCTCTCTCTCTCTCTGTCTCTCTGTTCTTTTCTTTTTTTTTTAAACTCATTTCGTTACACAATTTTTTTTTCCTTTTTTTTTTTTATGATTTTTACAATCTCCTAGTGCATATTACAAAAGTTCACGTAGATGTTAACAAACGTTAAATACGAACTTTTGTTTGTTTTCATTGTGTTATTTATTTTTTTTTTCCTTTTGTTTTTTATTTTGTATTTTTTTTTTTTTTTATTTTTCGAAAAGTACACACAGGGGCGTGGTGGCGGGGTTTACGCGCGGTTGAAAAGTTTTCGGACGTTCATAAAAATCAATTGCTACTTTATTCTTTTTGTTTTTTATGAGGTGGAAGAGGGAGGGAGGAAGAGAGGAAGGAAGGAAGGAAGGAAGGAAGGAAAGGGGCGGGTAATTGAATTTTTTGAGATTTTGTTTGTTTATTTATTTATTTATTTATTTATTTATTTATTTATTTATTTATTTCTTCTTTTTTTTTTTTTTGCAACAGAATTTCGATTTAGAAACTTTTAGTGAGCTGCTCTCTCTAACCATCCTGTAATAATAATAACGAAGTGCTCGTAATAGACACATGTCCAGTTTAACTTGGCCGACTCACGATACAAATTTGTATTCGACAAACTGCGCCATTTCTCCCTCTCTCTCTCTCTCTCTCTCTCTCTCTTTCTCTTGCATATCTTTTGTCTCTTTTTATTCGTTGTTGTTGTCGTCGTCGTCGTCGTTGTCGTCGTCGTCGTCGTCGTCGTCGTCGTCGTCGTCGTCGTCGTCGTCGTCGTTGTCGTCGTCGTTGTCGTTGTCGTCGTCGTCGTGCCAGAAAGTAATCGTGTGTCTGTCACATGCACGTTCTCTCGTTCTTTCTCATTCTTTTTACAGTGAAAAAAAGATTTGCACGTACAAACACACAAACATTCCCTCTAAGAGAGACACGTACATTACACACGTGTATTTTTTTGTGTGTGTATATATATATTTATATATAGGATGTGCGTCCATAGACGTCCGAACAAATATCTCTTGACCGTTTGAAGTTGGAATAAAATTTTAATAAAAAAAAATTTGCAAGTCCCTGACGTCATTTACAAAGTGCACGTGAAATTTTTCTATTATTTATTTTTCTCTTTTGTTTCTTTCACTTCTGTTTTTGTTTCGTTTTTTTTTTGTTTTTTTTTTTTTTCGTTTTGTTTCATTTCGTTTACTCCTGACCTTTTCGAGATATGCAAGGGTGAATAGTTCTTTTTTCTTCTTTTCTCATTTTTTAACCCTTTTTTTTCTTTTATTTTTTATTTTCTCTTACGAACACCCATAATTTTTTTTTTTTCTTTCTTTTTTCTTTTTTCTTTTTTCTCTTTCCGTATATTTATACTGCAGTGATCATTTGCGATTAGTGAAAAATGTTTACTGTCCATCATTTACGAGATAATCGGTGTTTTAACGACCCAATAACATATTCATACTGTGTCTATATATATATATATATATATATATATATATATATATATATGTATATGTATATGTTTATGTGAGTATGAATATACACATTTTGGCAGAGGCCTTTTACGATACGTGGAATTGAAAACAGGATGTAAACAGGACATAAATCTATCGGTTTTCTTAGTTTATATGTATGTATATTCTATATATATTATATACATTAAGAAATGTCGATATTGTAGGAGAGTGATAGATTAAAAAAAAAAAAAAAAGAAAAATTTGTTTTCCTAATGATGTACGGAATATATAATAATATTACGCTAATATTTTTAACGTATTATCTTCGAATGATCTATGGAAATTTATTTCTTTTTTATTCTTAAGTATGTCGCGTTAATTATTGAATTACATATCTTATCAATAGTTTAAAAATTTTTTTCTTAGAAATATTTTGTATATATATCGGCATGAAATAATAATTATAATAATATTTATAACAATAATATACATATATATATATATATAAAATACATAATTTATTATATAATAATAATAATAATAATAATAATAAAGATAATAATAAATATAATAATAATAATAGATGAAAGTTTTATATTATATTTGCACAGAGAAAGAGAGAGAGAGAGAGAGAGAGAGAGAGAGAGAGAGAGAGGAAAAGAGAGGGAGAGAGAAAATGATAGTACCACGTAGAGAAAAAAGCTGTGTATAAATTAATTGTTTCGATAAAATCTATTTACTTTGACGGGGGAAAAAAATATTGCTGATAGAAGAAGCGAGGAAAAAAAGGTAGAAAAGAGAAGAGTAGATTCAAAAGCTTGTCGAGATGATCGAAGAACAAAGATAAAACAACGATTTACACGTTGATCCGATTCCACCCACCCACCCATCCACCCACTCGTCTAAGTGGGTAGACGGAGGTGGTGGGATCAAAATGTTTTGAAGTGATTTTAAAAATTAATTATCCCTTTTTGCCACTTTGCAAATTCAATTATTTTCCTCTATTTATTTATTTATTTTCCTCTTCTCCTTTTTCTTTTTTTTTTCTTTCAATTTTTTTTTTTTTGCCCCATATACATACCAATTGTAAAAGCAAGATCGTTCAGCGTTTGTTTTTCTCTTTTTCTTTTTTTTTTTTTCTTTTTTTTTGTTTCTTTTTTCTTTTTTTTCTTGTATCTCGCACGAAAACAATTACGCAAGTTACCATTGCACTCGCATTAATTCGCTCGAGATAAATCACGTTTGACGTATAAACTTTCTTAATCGTTGACTTTTTCTTTCTTGAACTTCTTCTTCTTCTTTCTTTTTTTTTTTTTTTTTTGGTTCTTTTCTTTTTTTTTTTAATTTTCTTTTTTTTTTTTTATAATTTATTTTATCTCGCACGACTCGCACCAAACTCGTTCTAACTATTAAATTTTTTCCTTTCTCTTTGACGACTTGTTGTTTCGCAATGTGTTAAGAGTTGGTAATCGTTAATGCACAACAACCATAGTTGGATAACGTCGTAAAATCAGGTCTCGTTAATCATGCTACTCCGGTTTGCATATACCACTTTACATATAACAACCCTACGTGAGTATATTACTTAATAAGAAAACCAAATTTAATTTACTCGACTCGTGATATATTTATTAAGCTGACGTTAACTTTCTTTCGAGTTTCGATTAAATCGAATTAATTATTTGTACGTGCTTGTTTTAATGTTATATACTTTTCTTCGTCATTCTTTATTTTTTCCTTTCTTCCTTTCTTTTTTTTTTTTTTTTTCTTTTTTTACTTTTTCTTTTTTATTTAATTTAATTCATTTTTAATACCATCCTGATGAAACCTAATAAAATAATAAAATTATTCATCCTGAAATTATAAATAAAGTAATGAAATAATTAATTGCGAGAAATTTTTTTAATTAAAAAGAAAAAAAAAAGAAAAAAGAAAAAAAAAGAAAAGAAAAATTGATAAGTACCATTAGAAAGGCATATTACAAAAATTTGACGAATTTCGTTAGAAAAAAAAAAATTTATCGGACAATCGATGTGAGCTTGAAGTAAAAAATGATTAAAACAAAATAAAAAAAAGGGGGACAAA